TTTCGAGACGAGTGTTGCCAAAACTGCGCCTTTTAAAGATGGGGGAATAACACCCCAAGAATCCCCCAACCGGGATGGGGATTTTGGGGGAGTTGAAGTCCACTCATCTTAAAGTGGCCAAGTTTGGACAACACTGGTCTAGATCATTGGAGGAAGAGCCTTTGGAGGTTGGCAGGCCTTGCTGTTGGACCACCTATCCTATCCAGTTGCTGACTCTGGATACTTGTTTCATCTGTGGCTGCTACAAAGAGCAGCCATCCATCTTGTGCAGCTACTTTTTTTTCCCCCTGCCTTTGAAGAAGGGAGCATCAACCTCACGTATAACCAGATGCAGAGGGTCAATTTTCCCAATGGTAAACAAAAATAAAGCTAGCTGTTTCTCTGATCCTCTGCACTAATTAGGCTCCCGTTCTAGGCTTTTCGTGAATGTAGAAAGCAACGGCTGTTCGGTGTTCTTTGACATAGAAGATTTCACCCAATCTTATTTGACTGACCACTTACTTTAAGGCCAACGGTTTTTGGACACAGTAAAACAAGCACTCAAAGAGCACCAATGGCTTTGATTTTTGCGCATGGTGAGGTTTGGAAATCATACAGGACAGTTTACATGGAGACTGAGTTCTTGTTAAATTTAGGGAAAGAGGGACTGCACTGGGCATCCTTCTTATCGTGGAGCAAATTAGCCTGAGCAAGGAAACTGTCAGCTATTCCTGGATGGTGGGGGGAGGGGGTGTCACATTGGGGGGTGGGGTGAAAGTAATTGCTGAGCACAGAAGGAACAGGGAGACTAGGGTTTGGGCTGAGGTGCTGTATGGGTTGGCTCCATAAGGAATGACAGCCAGGCTTGTAGATGGGAATCCCAAAGGAGGCTACTAGGCTGGGTGACTGCTGGCCAAGTGGCCGAAGACATGGAGATGAAGCCACAGCAATCCAGCCAAGTGCTGCTAGACAGGCAATTCAGCACTGAAGTGGGGAAAGGAAGCAGCAGCAAATCACTATGTAACTTGACAGCTGCTTTGCAAAATACAGACTACGTCTGCCTTGGGAATATCATCCTCTTGGCCTTCCAGGAGATTAAGAGATCGGCCTTCTTGTGGCAATAAATAAATAAATGAATCATGAACCAGAATTGACCCCCCCCCCCAAAAAAAACAGTTGACCAAATGAATGATGAGCCTAAGTTGATTAAAAAAAACCTGGTTGATCAGAAAATATTCCAGATGATTGGTTGATGGAACCCAAAAAGGACAGTAGATATACTGGCAGGGAGCACCTACCAATCCTGGGAGAATGACTGGTGGCTGATTTACTGCCAGAGGTGATGCTGGATGGAGGGGAATAGATAGCAGAGAACTCATCTATGAAACTACCTCACACCCTAGCATGTGTGGGCAGCAACATTGACTGGCATAATTCTGAAGTGTGGTAAAGTTAGGCTTAAGGGGGCAGTGCTTTACAGAACAGGAGAAAAACACCTAACATGGCTATGAGGATGTGCTCTCAGCCAGCTTGTCAAGCCTGCGAGGCTGAATGAAGGTGAGTGCTCCAAGGTCACCTTGTGAGCTTTGGAGTTGAGAGGGGATTTGAACCTGGCTTTCCATTGTCGCAACACAATACGTATGAGAAAGAGACTGCAGGTAAATGAAGGATACTCACCATCACAGTCAAAAAGAGCAAACACTACATCACATACATGGTCTGACAGCTCCACCTTTGCCACCGTCTTAGCTACCTGCTGCATGGTATCTGAAAGAACAGTGAAAACACACTGCAAGTCAGATGTCAATGTGGTGTGGGAAATGAGAGGCTTAGCACAAACATACTCTGATCATTTTTCTCCAATGAATAAAGCCAAGGTAGGATTTCCCGACCCCCCTATCCACCAATCCCCAATTTCAACATGAGGCAACAAGCACTTTTAAAACTAAATGCACTTGCTAAATGGAAGGATGAAAAATGCTGAAGCCAACATGTAATTTTTCATCCAACTGCACTGCTGAAGACAATCATATTAGATGCAGCCGTTTGTTCTCCTGATGGGCGTTTCACTGCAGTTCATTTGACACAGTAGTGGAGAAAGTGGGAGGGAGAGAGAGAGGGTGGACTCAGAAAAGCTGCTAGATTAAATACAGAAAGCCTGCATTGCATAGCTTCAGCTGGTTCCAGATGGCTAGGTCCTAAGAGCACAACACTCTCCAACAGCCTTTATCTATGTCACTTGGATCAGTGGGAGGACATCTGTGTTTCTTGCACAAATCCAACTCTTTGAGGAATGGTTACCCAGGAAATGATCCTAGTGGATTCTGTTGTGAATTAACACACATAAATCCTTGTAGGATTCTTTTTAATTCATCATTTCCATAGATGAAGCAATACCATATTCCAGTTAGGTAAGAAATGGCTATATGTTATAATTTGTACCAGCACCTGGAGATTTATGAGAGTTACACATGTATTCTAGGAACTCAGAACTTTGCTCTATAGCACACAGCCTGGAATCAATTAAATGTGACAGAGCAGTGAGACTCTGCTGTTCTTTTCCATACTTTCTTTATTATACACTTTACTATAGGGATGAGGGAATCAATTAACAGTATTCAGGAATAATAACTTGAATGTACGGCCTCTCCAACTCTATGCTGTGGAAGCTTCCTAGTTAATTAATTAATTCCCTTCTCCCTGCTCTGAGGGACGTGGAACAAACGAAATGGGCAAAATCAAAATTGTGGCTTAGTCTCAAAGGCTCAGTTGAGGAATAAGGATGTACTGCTTCTTCTTTTAAGAGCATGGAGCATTCCCCATATCCATTATAGGATCCTAAAGTGGGATTCCAGCATTTGAGATCCTGGCCTGAAAACAAAATGGTAAAACCAGCAAGGAAGATTGCTAAGAGGCAACAGAACGTTTTCCTTCTTCCCTTGCATAGAAACCAAAGGACAAAAGAAAGAATGTGTGTGAGCTTTAGGACAGTAGTCATGGCACTCATGATAATCAAATTAACTGTTTGAATATGGCTAGAATTCTAGAGTTTGCTATTCTTTAAAACAATATAATATAAATTCTGGATATAAATTTTATAAGTAAACAAAATGAATAAGTAAGTTTGCCCCAAACATAGCTACATCTCTGACTTGGCTACATATACAGTGGTGCTTTCTGCCACACACAAATATGTAGCTTTGGATCATTTTCCTCAATAAATAAATGAACAACTATAATGTTTTTGACTCATGTGTTAATTGGGTTCTCTTTATCTAATTTTAGGACTTGTGCGGAGAACAGATCGCATTTTAGATCATATTTATGCAGAAATATTGGAAGTTCAAAACGGTTCACAGACTTTTCAGCACCACTGTATATAGCAAATTAATTTTTTGGAAAGTACAGCAAACTCAGCACTAAGTTAATTTATTGCAGGAAGTTAATGGATGGTGAATGAGCTAATCAATCAACTACAAGTAGTATTTTCTTTTTCCTGATAATAAAACCACAACAGAAAACCTCAGAAGTGCTTACAGAGGATTTTCCCTCCTACTTATATTCCCTTTTTGCTCCACAGTGATTTCCTTGATTAGTTGCTCTCATACACACCTCTACTGGAAAGGATGCTAAGCTAGTGTCTCAACAGGTTTCTTCATAGTAAAAGGCCAGGTCTCTTTAGTGGTATAGAGAAGGCTGCTCCTTCCTTCAGCTTCATGGACAATAGCTCCCTTAGGTGATAAGCAATTAATGGAAATACTTGGCCTACCCAGAGCACCGACCCTAGCATTTAGAAGCATGGGCACACAGACCCATCTTGATGATTTTATTCTGGTTTCTATTTTCAGCACTAATGAGTACATTGTTCCCACTTCTCCTGTGCTGCATCTAAACTGTTCAACATCACAGGGTTTTCTAACCATTATTGTAAATTTATATTTGGTAGCCAGATATTTAGTCTACATAGGAAACTGTACAACCACAGAATTTCAACCTCCATTTACAACATTGACATACATATATATGTACATAAAATAGTTACATACATACAGTAGTTGCAAAGTAACTTTCCAAGTACATTTTTTATACTTTGTTAAGAAAGTGGGAGAAGGCAAGCAATTTCTGGAAATGACGTATATACAGTATAATATTTTAGGGTGCTCATAGATGTCTGCCTATCTTCCGAGGAGTGAAAATGTGGCTTACTTGATTCTGACTCAACTATATTGTACTTGAACAACTTTGTAATCTAAGGCTGAGAGAGTTAGCATGATCTCTGATTAGAAAACAGCACGGCTGGAAGTCATGCTAGCTAGGGAATTCTGGGAGTTGTACTCCCAACACATCTGGAAGATGTCAGGTTGAGGATGGTTGCTCTAATTTTTCACATGCAATTCAAAATCCTACATACGTGAAACATGTTGGCTGCCAGCTATGGAAATGTAAGGGATGGTGACTCAATTGCAAACTCATGCGCTTAACACAAAGTAACACAAATAATGACAGAAAAATCAAACTCTACCCTCTGTGCCATCTAGTGATGTTTAAAGCAGGAATCCCAGTTACTAGCATACTAGCCAAGACACATACTAACCTATTTGCAACACTGAACTAATCAATTAATTTGCAAGAATTTAACTGCCCCGTCACAAGGAGAATCAGTATAGGATTCTAGATTTGCAACACATATATCTGCCTTTGGATTGTCGAGTCAGCAGATCTGAAAGCATTTTGCAGTGGCAGTCTGACAAAAATCAAGGAAGACCGAAACTAGGGGCACAACTTGGCTTAGAGTGCAGCAGACTAACTGCATATTAGTGCTTCTGAAGATATGCCTCGAGTTAACTTAATTGGACGGCGAACTTGCTTGAAAGCTTTGAAGGAAATCTCATTAGTCTGGGTTGATTCCAAATAGGTTAGCTGTTAATTAATTGTAAAAGCCATCCTGCCAAGGGCAGTTAGTAAAGTATGCTTTGAGAACCCAGTGACCCAATCTGTGAAATATCTGTATGTTTCAACATTCTACAAAATCGGCATATTCAGATTTCTCATTTGCTGTTGAGCCGGTAGAAATCAGTTTAGGGGTGAAACTTTCTTTTGGGGAGAGGGAGAATGGTCAAAATGAACAAGGTAGATCAAAAGGAACTGATATCTGAGCTATATTACAGGAAAAGGCTTAAAGCAATTGGTTTAGCACACTAAGGCCAGGAAACTGTAAGAAGTTCTGCTTTTCTCCCACATTTGTACATTTTAATATCAAAAGAGAGTTCACTACCATTGATTTATATGTAAAAAGGACATGTTTGGCAAATACGGGAATGTCTTTATCTTTATGGCACATGATGCTAATACTGAGATTAGCAAACACAAAGCTGGCTTCCTAAAAGTAAAATACAGGCAACCGGGGAAGAAGGTATGAGCCCTGTGTACTGTTTGGATAGGATTTTAAAAATCTCCCTTCCTCTACTGCAGTCCCAGTTAAAAACAAATTGTAGTATCCTCTGATGCACCACTTAGAAGACACATCTTCCCACTTTTCCTTAGCTTTAGCAAAGTTATCTTAATTGTAAATAAGTAGGTGTCCAGCAAAGAGTGCAGAGGCTTTAAATTGCTTTGCTGTAGCAAGCTCTATTTGTGCCAAGTTCTAAGCACCCACACCATTATTCAGGTTGGGTAATTTGTTAGAACAAGGTGACTCTCAATTAATATGCATGTAAAAATGAAGATGGTCAGCAGGTTAAGAGTCTCATTACATTCAATTATTTAGCACAGTGTTTTTCAACCTCAGCAACTTTAAGATGTGTGGACTTTAACTCCCAGAATTCCCCAGCCAGCATGCTGGCTGGGGAATTCTGGGAGTT